GACGTAATCTTCGTCCGACAACCCTCTGACAATATCTGTATATAAATCTGTATACAGTACTGCACGTAGGCGCGTAGCACGTCCATGAGGGCTGTTTTGGCAACCCAAGCCCAACATTATACCAAATCTGCTAATAAATTCAAAATCTGCACACTTACCTAATTACCGGCCACAATTTGTATATCCAGCTAATTGGGCCTTATTCATAATACAAAAACATATCTTTTGCAGACTTTGTGCAACCCAATACTTTCACCCGTCTAATCCCATCTCACACAAAATACGGATCAAACCTAGTATTATAATATAGTTTATTAATTCTTCCTCCCACATTTATTCATATGCAATCTATTTATTTAGTGGTTTGATTAAAGATTTATTAATGATTCTACACTATGATGTATGAGTTTCGAATCACAAAAAATAGATTATGCATATTATTAAAGAAAATGGTGTATGAGATATTCAAAATGGTTCAAAAAATATTGTTAAACATGGATCTCATAAGGTCTCATGGTAGTGCAGTTAGAGTGAATCCATCATATATAAGCCATGTATAATTGTCAATGTAGAATTATTTTTGTAATATTTCTCATATTTCCTCTATATTTTAATATAAAATATATGACGTGTAGGAGATTTTTTTTTGTTCCAGATTAGATTACGTTTCCAGTTTTCAATAAAATCTATTATTTTCATGACACATGTCTAGTTTATTCTGTATTATTAGTTGAATTATATTTAAGTGAAATAATTAATGATGTTTTGTTTTAAACATATATTAAAAACTTAATGTTTTTTTTAATTTTGTATCATAATCCTAAAACGACATCTAATAGAAAGAGAGAGAACAATTTGTATTTTTGTAATTAACCAACATTAAAAATGAAGTTTTTCATATTGGTATGATGATCATCAACAAAATGGTTTTCAAAGAGAGAGATATTTACGCATATATATCAATTACACAATCTGTCCAGTTCTACTCCATAAGAAACCATACCACTTAAGTCCTCTAAACCAGAAGAACAACTGTTTAGTCTCTTGTCTCTTCTCTCATTGTTTGATTGCTTTTAGTTACCTGAGTTTTTGTGTTGCGACGTTGTTGAGAATCCGACGAATAAAGAGTTACGCACAACCAACTCGGGATATTGTTAGTGTTACTATTTTATTGGATCTTCATTGATTTGCTTATAAGACTTATCTTGTACATTATAGTTTATAGACAATGGATATATATTAATTAAGTACTTAGATGTCTTTTTATATTCATACATTAGTTGTTGGGCATATGGAGACTGCTTTCCTGAATGTCTACTCTGTTTGTCTTACTTTCTCCCAATCAGTAGTTAACCTAACCATAGAAGTATATAATTATTTGCTTGGTAAACATATAGTAGCTACTCTTAAGATCATTAATAGTTCTTAGTCTTCTTGACGACATTTTGTTTGAAAATTAAAACACATTAAAAAAAGTCCCTAGAATATTTGTAATCAAGACATGTAGGGATTAAATAACGTGTTAATGTTTGGGGACCAACCTGCAAGATGACGAACCTAATGGTAAAGAGACCTATCTACATCTACATTGACATGCCTAAAGTCTTACTAACATTATTGACCTAAAATTCAATATATATACAAAGAGACAAACAATATGGTGTGATTACTTTGTGTGGCGCATGGACCTCATGGTCATGATCATGGGCTTGTTCTGTTATTCACAATTCACATGCCTCTCAGTTTAAATTTAACTCGACGAAAAAATTAAATTTAACACTTTACAAGATACATATAATACCAGTAATTTAAGAAAAAAGAGCACTGTGTTTTTCAATTATAAGTTATCAAACTATATAAATTTTACTTGATAAAAAGAAATGTTGATTAATAACTTTCAGATATAATGAACATATTTACTTACAATGAAATCTACAAAAGAAGTATGGAATTATAAATAAATAAGAAGTTTCAAAAAAAAGTACAAATAAATAAGGGTAACAAAAAAGTAAAATAAAGGAAGAGGACCCCATTTCACTACTTAAGCCGTGAGGGGAAAATATGGCATGAAAAAATATGATGATAGTAAAAATTTATGTTACATATGAGTAATTCTATATGATCATACTGTAAGACGTTTTGAAATTCATATTACAGATGATAGTAAATTTACGATGATAGCATATGAAATTATATGTTTCTCTATTTTTAGGACACATAAATACATAGACTTATCCGCATTGACATCAGACCCCGAATATTTGGTGAACTGTGGTCCTCTTCCTTTTATTTTCCTTTTCCTTCTTTTTCTTCCATAACTTCTTTTTATAATTTGTTTTCATTATTTTCACAATAGTATCTTTTTCTTTTCCTCAATGAAATAGTATTATGATATGTGACAGAGTTTCTGATTTAAATTCATAATGATAGAAAGAAACAGCACGTAAAGACTAAAGAAGAGATTACTCATTACTAGACTAAAGATCTTTTACAAAACTTGTGTGTTGGTATACAGTGTAGACTGACTTTGGCTCTTTTGTTTTAACTTTTCCTTTTCACTTGCGTGTCTAAATTCTTTTACTTAGTAAATGTGAAAGTTGCTAAATAGATAATAATTTCTGAATTTTTTTCTTCTGAATTTACATAACAGTGGTTTAGGTGAATCAGATATTATTAAGAAAAATATAAATAGCGTTGCTTGGGTAGGCAACAACACCCACATTCAAAAAGCCCTTTTCAAGAAAAAAAACTCCCCACATTTTCGGTTTTTTTAAAGTGCAGATCTTCATAGTCAAGACTTATTCAAATTAGAGAGCTTACAGAAATTGATTAACAGAACAACAAAGGTCATATAATAAATAGAATCTGAGCAAAGAAAAAGAAGGTAACTTTGAAAGCTGAGAGAAGCTTCATTAACTTCTTAATCTACGACCGTTATAGGAATAAAAGCAAAAGCAATGACATGGGACAGCTATGAAAAGATCATGACAAAAGCAAAATCCTATTAAATATAAATAGGATTAATAGTTTGGAAAATATAATAGAACCTACCCAAAAAAGGAAGTCCCAACTTCAAGTAATGCGGAATCAATCTTGCGAGATACAATGGATTTGGATAATATTTTTAGAACTCAATTATATTAAAAAAATTTAGTTAGCTGAAATATAGACGCCCATAATACAGCCCATTAACATAGTACATCATATTTTGATTTTCTTATCAGTTGTTACTGAAATTTAGTTTAGCTGAAACGTACACGCCCATAACGCTTCTTCTTAGGTTCTTCCTCATTATTGCTTAGTACATCACATTTTGATCTTATTATCAGTTGCTATTCCGAGCAAATTACCGTAACAGTAACATGAAACTTGTGTATATTCATGTCTCATCAACTAATGGGATGTTCTTCTTAATAGCAATCTCTAGCGCCATCTCTCTTAGCTCCTCAGATGCAGGAGATGGTGATGGATCTTCAGGATACACAACATATGACCACTGCACGCAACAAATAGTCAAATTTGGTATGGTTAGTAAATGCCTATACTATTTGGTAGAGCTCAATACCATCTAAAGTTTCAAAATGAAGCATATGGACTTCAGGTCTAGAATCAATGAACACTAAAGAAAACAAAGCAGTTCACAAACATATGTTTTAGAGAACTTAGCAAATCTGAGTTTCAGTGATTCAAACGCACACAATTTATAAACAGTCAAGTTACCATTTACAGTAACGGAAGTGAAGAACATGACAAGGATGTCACTGATGAATAATGAGCTCTTAACAAGAAAATATTTCGATTTTTGGTTTATCACTTCCATCATTACTCTCTTTATTACTCTAAACTAAAAAAAAAGCTTCACAACAGCTCGCTACTACTTTGATGATCAGATACAAGTTTCTTCAACATCTTCTTCTTAACAACTTTCTCAAACTCAACTCCAGACAAGGACAAAACCTGATTCAACAACAGTCTCACTCCACTTCTCTTCACCAGCTCATACCTCGGCTTGATCCTCTCCTGAAGACTATACCCGAAAAACTGCGGAAACTTCACCAACTCCGAGTTTGGATAATCCATTGTCTGAAAATAATCCCACTTCGGCATCAGATTCTCTCTCAAACTAAAAGTATACAAAGCTCCATACCTAGAGATCATGATCCCAATCTCATCTATACCATAACCCTTCTCTAGAAAAAACTCAGTCACAGGCTTCAAGTTAGTCTCAATGCTTAAACCAAAAGTTTGTGGACAGCGATGAAGGAGAATCGCAACATCAACGTTTAAAGACTTGAAGTACTCCATTGTAGGACGTAGCTTGTCTTCCACGCTGTAACTCATGATGTTCGGACACCGAGTCAAGATCTTACCAATCTGCTCTTCAGACAGACCGGTTTGAGTTAAGAACTCAACGGTTGAAGTAAGTTTCTGTCTGCTGTAAGTCAAGATAGCTGGAAAACGGTATATGATCTTAGCCCATTGGTTCTTATCAATGCCTAACGTCTCCAAGAAAGCCATTGTTGGTTTGAGATTATCAGTTAAGCTGATCCCACAAATCTGTGGCCGTTTGCAGAGGATTGTTGGTATGTCTGACTTAGGGACTCCAAGGTCTAGAAGAAACTCAACAACAGGTTTGATCTTCCCCTCGAGGCTATAGTAAGGAAAGGCAGCGAACTTACGAGTGATTGTTTTGATCTGCTCGAGGTTTAAACCAAGGTCGAGAAGGTAGAGTGTCTGAGGACGTAATGCACCTTCTGTGTCGAGTTCGCTTACACGAGAGACCGCTCTTAGTTTCTTAGCGGAATCTGTGTGAACAACACGAGGTGGTGTGAGTGGAGCTGGTGGTGGGGAAGATGAAACGGGTGGATCTTGAGGTGATGGTGGATGAGGGAAGCTGACAACGAGGTCAGAGAGGAGATGACCATGTTGTTGATGAAGTTGTTCGAGGTAAGGAATGAGGGAGTCTCGTATCTCGAGTGTGGTGAGCTCTCTGCCTACGAGGTAACGTGCTTTGTGGACAGAGTGGAGTCTAGAGACTAAATGGTCAATGAAGAGATCAGATTTGTTGATGATCCTAACGGAGACGCTGTTGCTAAAACCTTGCTTCTTGAAGAATAGTGTTAAGACAGCTTTGGCTTCTTCTTTCTCTGCTGCTATCAGATTTGGAGGTACTGGTCTTGCGCTATACTCTACTCTGTTCTTTAAACGAAGCCCTATAAAATTACATCAAATATTGCTTTTAAAATTTGAAGCAAAAAAAAAAAAGAAGAAGATAAGATTATGTATCGTTTTTGACCACTCACGAAATGATTCTTGTCGGAAATGGAGTTTACCAGTGAACCAAAGCTGTGCTCTGTAAATCAAATGCAATCAGAGATTTAAAGATAACTGAATTTTGTTGTAAGAGAACATTTCTAATACATAGGAATCAAGCAATTCATATTAATAGTGAAGCTGTAATAAATAAGTAAGTAAGTAACTAACCTCGTACTTGGGTTGTCTCTTCTAGCGATGAAGAAAATCTCAGACGGTCCTAACTGACTAAAACTTTGCATGATTTGTTCTTCAAGTAACTAAATCCACGGAAAAGAGAAGACAGAGAGCAATTAATCTGAAGAAGTAAGAAAGAGAGATGATTAAGCCATAAGCACCAAACGAAGCAAAGGAATCGCGGAAAGATAAAGCAAAAGAAAAATAGAAAAAATCCAAAAAAAGACTCACCTTTCGACTCACCTTTCGTTGTGAAACGTGGATGGTGTGAAATTTTCCTGAGGAAGTTACAGAGAGAGAGAGAGAGAGAGAGAGAGAGAGACAGCGAGGAAGACAAATATCAAATGCAATTCAGATAGAACCCTCACTGAGAAATGACATGTGATTGGAGAACGAGTTTAAACTGCGATTTCGTTAAAAAGATAAAAGAGATTTTAGTTATTTGGCATGTGAACATCTCTACATTTCATAAAGACCCAATTTGTATTAACTTGGGCTTAGTTTCTCTCTAGTTTCTGAATAGTCGGCAGACACCCCTTGTTCTAAAAAATCGGATCAATTGCTCAGAACTTGGTAGACAAATCTTATTGATTGGGCTAACTTTTGCCTTCGAGGTAGTCTCTTTCCGCCTCTTACAAAACAGTTTTTTTTTTTTTGGGTTTTAACATTTCTCATGTCCCTATGTCTAGAAGAATGTGTGCAGACACTTTTGGCAAAGAAATGAAAAGTGGTAGCCTATTAAATCACGCGTCTATGATCAGGTGGTTAATGAGTTCTGTGAATCCATAGAGAGACCCGAATTCGAATCTGCACCACACCATATTTCTACAACGTGTGGTCGTTGGGGTTTTCAAATTCTCTCTCCAAAAAATGGTTTACCATTTTTTTTAAATGGTAGCCTATTTTACCATATAAATCACACCAGATCGGAGCGAACATTTCATCGAAATGATTTAATCTCGACTAACACTTGATTAGCAAAATGGGTTGTTGACTTGTTGTGACAAAAAAAAAAGAAGTAATTCATTAGAATTGATGTTAGACATCGACAAAATATTAAATGATAGCTAGTATTGCGAAGACTACTGTCTTAATGGTTTGGAACGTCCACCACATCACGATGAAAGCAACTTCTCCACGACAATGAATCTTTCAGAATTAAATAAGAGAATACAAGTCCAGCCATCAAATTAAATTGTATTGTTTGCCTATTGCCAGAAAAATAAACAATGTGCGACTCCTACTTTAAAAAACAAGCAAACCATTAACAATTTGTATGTGATATGTAACTTATACAAGATTCAGCTATTCTAAGTGAATTAACATCTGTAATATATTGCCAAATGAAATACCTACTCTTCATTACTCGAGATAACAAACACAAAGGGACTTGCTTTTGCCAAGCTTGTCTAGCTAACAAATCTTGGTTAAAACAATTACTAATATAGTTTAGTATTAATTCTAAATCAAGTCCGACTTTCTCTTTTGCCCAACAAAACTTCTCCAGACAAGTCAAATGTATTTTCCTAGCATGTTCAAAAGCGATCCACCATAAATCAGATATTGCATCAAGTTAGCACAAGTTGTCTTTCAGAATTTGTAGCAAAAACATTGCATAGACAAACGTGTGCAAATCTGCCGCTTTAAACAAGAACCTCTTTATATCCTTAATATAAAGTACACGCTTATACCAACCTGATAGTATGGGCTGTAGATGATCTTTGATGTAACTTATGCCATTTCCAACCCAAATGCAAAATTCTATTTTAGTGATTTTTACACTAAAACTTCTCTAACCCAACTGCAAAAATCACATTATTTTAAGGCAATACTAAAATTTCACACCTAATTTAGTGTGATACTATTCGCAATACTAAAATATTATTCATCTCATTAAAACGTTAATTATTTTATTTATTAATAAAGTAAATAGTTAAATAAATAACAAATAAATAAATAAATATTATATTATAAAAAAGTTTTAGTGCAAAATAGTGTTATGGTTGGAAAAGAACTTTTTAGTATTGAAACTACAATAAAATAGTGTAGTTTTGACACTAAAATAGTGTTTATGGTAGGA